CCACGTGACGTCGACGTATAACTCACGTATCCCACGTGTTCACGTATGTCCTGAAAGTCCTAAATATTCGATAAACTCTCTTTTTATCTTTCTTAATAATTATTTTATAAATTAACTTTAATTCCTCTTCCTTGTTTAACTCTTTCATATTTCTAATTATCCTACTTCATCTCTTAATTGATCTATAGATCCGATATATTCGGAACAACATGCACAGATAGTAAAACCTAGGTTCCGCCGAGATTTGAACTCGGGTCGCAGGATTCAGAGTCCTGAGTGCTAACTGTTCTAAATACTAAAACACAAAAGATTGTTCTTAATACTTTATTTCAAAAGAAATTTAATCTTATTCACGTATTATAACGTTTCAATGCTACGACCGCTTCTGGTCGGTTTTAACTGAACAATGTTTGTCTGAAAGCGTTTCCACGTGACGTCGACGGATAACTCACGTATCCCACGTGTTCACGTATGTCCTAAAAGTCCTAAATATTCAATAAACTCTCTTTTTATCTTTCTTAATAATTATTTTCTAATTTAACTTTAATTCCCTTTCCTTGTTTAACTATTTCATCTTTCTAATTATCGTATTTCATCTCTTAATTGATCTATAGATCCGATATATTCGGAACATTCCCCCCGCCTTTAATCTTTCTTACCAAGTCACCGATTTACGATTTATACTGTAGGTATCCAATTAACATGTTCCTCTCGTGGATTATTCTGCTGTTTTCTCACGAGATGGCATCGACAGGTCGACTGTAGTCTGGGCGGCGCGTTAAAAGGCTTTTCTCACGGTCTCGAGGTGTACCGTGTTATGCTAATTATCAGACGTCTGTCACTATTGAGGATCGCTAATCAGATTAAATCTTTTATTCTTTCCGACATGGACATATTACAAAGTGGTATTTCTTGAGACTACAGCATTTGCACAAATTAGGCTTGTGGCAGATCCCTTTGTGTTTCTTTATGCATTTGTAGCATAACCGTAGGCTGGTGGCTCTTTGGAGCCTATCAATTTTTGTGGCATATCTGGTGCATTTGCCATCGTGGGGTTTTTGGCAGAAACGGCACGGATATCGACGGACCCGTTGTCGGTCACAAGGCCTTTGATCTTTCTTTAATGTCTAATTAGCATATCTTCACCTATTCCATTCTTCCAACTACCTTTGGTTTCTCTCTTTCTTTCTTTTCTAGCCTTTTGGCATTCTCCATTAGTTCCGTTACTTGATTGGTCAAAGTTTCTAACAACTTTCCGATGGTCTTTTCCTCTTCCTTTTCTTCGAGAATTAAGGATTCTTCGAATTCCTTCATAATTTGATCGTCTGACATGGGGTTGGACTGATTTCTTTTTCATTTTTCTCCTCTTATATACTTTTTCTTCACGTGGAAATCACGTGGTCAAACGTGAATCGTGTCACGTCTCAT